AGAGGGATAGCAAATGGCATCGGAATGGTAGTCAGCAATCCTGGCGACTCCCTCTCCCACTCTCTCAGTCTCCCACCACCCCCCTTCCCATTCTACGTCTCACCACATTTCCCTCTCTCCCTTTCGCCCCCCCCCCCCTCATCTATTTCCGTCACGGCTACATGTCAGCGGCCCTGTTTTTCCCGAGGTCGAGGCCTAATAGGTTTTTAGCTGTCGACGTCTCCTGCGTTTTGCCCAGTGTTCCTTGTGCTTTGGTCTGGTTCACTGACGTATCTCCCTCTTGATTAAGCAGTAGAGGATGCACACTGCGAGTTCCGGCCCCTGAAAGACCTCCGACGAAGCCGCCTTGGCGTCGGCATCCGCGCTCTCGTTCTCCGAACGCCGGAATGTCCTGGCACCTAAAGCAAGAAAACTCGATGCGCCTGGCTAAAGTATTCATAGTATTTCTGCATTTACGGACCGTACTTGACCTAATCATGGGGAGGCTAACGACTGTAAGGCGGCCCTGTTGTCCGAGAAAATTCAAACCCTCTCGCCAGCCTTCCTCAGTTCTAGCGCTTCTCGCACGTATCTCAGGATTGCCACGATGTCTGCTTGAATGGCCGTGATTGTGTCTATCAATAGACATCAAAACGCGCCTTCCGCTAGATCTCTTCTAGACCCCAACTTCCGTTCTATCTCTAGACCTAGAGCCATCTGTGTACCAGATGTCTCCATTTGCTGCGAGCAAGTTTCATTCCTGGTCGTGGTACTTCTCTCGATGAGGAATGTTAACCTGGGAGATAGAGGAGAAGCCATGCTTCACGCCCTTCCTGTCCTCTGTTTCGCACAGTGCTAGGTCCGGCAGGATGTTGAACAGTTCCAATGCGTTTCGTTTCCGCTTTCCTTCGTCGCCCATCAATCAACCTATAAGCCGTTAGCACGGCAGCTGTATTGATGATAATATGCAGTATCTCCTCTATGGGGGAACGCCTCATTGCCATAATCTGCGTGGTATGCAATGCTCCGATTATTCCTCTGAAGAACATGGCCTCGTGTCCATCCAACCGAGTTCTTGCTGAGACCAACTCAACCCTCGCCTCCAAATCACGGCCGTCATAGTTAGCCTCGGCTTGAGGACGACGGTAGGTAGCTACGAAAGGATTTTCCGACAAAGTCCCCATCCCGACAGAGGCATCTCATATTCAGAATGTATCGTAGTACTTCTTGATTGCCTTTTGAAGGTGCTCCGCCTAGCTCAATTTTCTATCCAGGATTACTTTTGAGTATTGAACCGAGCAAGAGACAGGGAACTTTCTTCCATAGAACTTGGGGTTCTTAATCGCTTCCTGTTTAAACTTCCCAGAGAAGCGGATAGTCTTCGTCTTCTATGGATTAACGGGAAAGTCTGATGTTTCAACACCAGCTTTCCATTATCCGTAGGTATCCTCGTAGGGTCCCATCAGAGGTTCCAAGAAGGACCCACGCATCAGGACCCACCATGTCATCCGCATACCTCTGCGAGTGGACTTCCTCGTTATTTAGTACCGTCAGGAAGTCTTCAGCAAGACAGAGACAAGACTGATGGGCCGATAGTCTTTGGCCATTGAATGAATGCTCCTCCCCAGTTCGGGGATGAACATTACCCTGGCCGCCTGCCAGGCCTTCGGCGTGCACGCCTACACCAGGCAAGCTCTGAAGACCTTCATGGGAGGGGGGTCAACAGAAAACGAAGCTTCTCCGGTAGGAGGGTCGGAAATATGCCACCTGGACCCGCCGCCTTAAATATACTAAAACGTGTATAGCTTAAGGACTAAATGCAGGGTGTTACCACGTGAACTCAGCTTCAGGACTAAATGCAGGGTGTTACCATATGAACTCAGCTTCAGGACTAAATGCAGGGTGTTACCACGTGACATCTGCAAACTCACTAGAGGGGAGCTGAATTGGTCTTACACTCGTTGAAGTTCGTGCTAAAACCGCGTGGAGCCTTCTAAGTTCGGACTGCTTCTCGATTCTACTAGTATATTTCTTCTATCCCCCTCCTCCTTCCTGCTTGGAGTGTCTAATGGTGTATTTATACACCTCTGGAGCTTCCTTATAGGAAATCGAGTAAATAATGAGCATAGAACATTTAGCTCTGTATAGCAGCCCCTGCGATTTGACCTGGAGTTCCTGAAGTGGTTTATTCCACCAAAGGGCATCCACACGACGAGGAGCCTTCCTTATGAGACAATTGCTCTCAGAGGAGTCAGTTAGGGCTTGCCAAAGATAGTCGTCTGCGTGCTCAACTTCCTTTGTGGAACCAAATCTATCCGGGTAACCCCGGAGCTTGTTGTCCAGTTCCTCTCTGTACAGAACGCAATTAACGGCTCTAGGCTCCTAATCAGTATCTTTTCTCGACTCGCCAAGGCCAGCCTAAAGGTGATGAAATTGTGATCCGACAATAAGGGCTCATTCGAGACCCTCCAGTTCAGAATCCCACCGCCCAGCCTCGCCGAGCAGAGAGTGATATCAAGCACCTCCTTCCGTACGGCGTTTTGAAAGGTGGGTTCATTCCCCTTGTTTAGAATATCTAGCTGTGGGGTCGCCAGGTATTCGAACAGGCATAAACCCCTCTCATTACTCTACGAACTACCCTACACTGCATTGTGGAATTCCCATCGTAGCCCGCCATGGAAGTTAGGTCTTTAGTTCGGCAAAAGTCCACTAGACAGTGGAACTTCGCTATGGGTGGAGGCTCGATAGAATCGAAGGGAATATAGACCGAACAAATTACCGCCTCGCCCCTCCCATCTCCTCCCAATTAGATACTTGAGAATCACTGCTGTGTGATTGCCGGCTCAGGGACATTGTTCCTCAGGGAGCAATATGTCTGACTAGTACCGCCGACGCCTCCCGACGCGGGTACAGATTAATCTGGGTGACTGTGAGCCCCGCCATAGTTATAGAAGCTAGGACGTGGCCTCCTCTCCTGTGATCTCCGCGTCATGGGATTCGTGGGACTGTACAACTTTAAAGGTTATCCTCTTCGCCCCATGGTGTGGCCTATCGTTCAGGGCTTTAAAAGCCCGGGTCGCGAACGCCGGGATGCCCACGACCACGGTTGGTCCTTCAGGGGTAACCCCCCCCCCCCATGTAAACCCGCCACACGTTGGTGCTAAGCGATGGATTCTGCTTCTTAAGCCTCCGCAGGACTTTGACAGACCTTTCGGGTTCTCCGAAGAGCCCCGCTGTCGTTCTGCAGGGCTTCCGAAGCTGTTATTTGAAACGTTACGTCGCTTAATTCCACCATGGGAGGCGAATCTTCCGCTGACACTTGATTGGTGCGCCGACGCCGATTCAGCGGCATCCCCCGCCGACGGCTTAAGTTTCTGTCCTTGAAGCCTCGACCCCGCGCGCTGGGCCCCTGCTGAGAGCCTAGAATCGGCTAATCAAGCCTTCCAGGCCTTCTTCTCGGAGCATGCTTGACCCTCTTGATGGAGAACCTTCCGACCTTGGTTCTGATAGAATGAACGTCCAAAACATCAGCCGAGGCCTCTGTCGAAACTTTGGAGGCACCCCCCCCCCCCCGACGGAGCTCACCCCCAGCGCCTCCTCCTTCTCTTCAACTAAATTTTTGAACGGCTCCATTTTTGGTCCCACGAGAAATTAAGGAATTACATGGTCCGCCCCGGCTGAGCCCCGCGTGCTGGGGTGAGGCTAAGTACATTGAGAGGTCGCTTGATATCTCAGAGGTACTGTTTATCATTCCCCGGTGCCATTCAGCCTTCAACACGGTAACCCACACCTTAACTTGGGATGGCTGATTTTCCTGTCCCGCGCAAGTGAAACCTCGGGCGATGGGAACACCAATCCTCCCCGCGCCTGGTGAATTGCTCTAAGTCATGTTGCTCCCCCCGGACCAGCTCGCACCACGCGGGTGCAGGGGAGGGACCTCCTCGAGGTTCCCCGCGGGCAACGGGTGGGGTCAAGCGGCCTCCCTTCGGGGAGTGCGTCGCGGAGGCCCCAACCCGGCAAGCGCCTCCCCGGGGTTTGAACGATCGGTCCGGAGCATTCGGGTTTTTCCAACCCGTCCTGGGCCTTCGGGCCCCCATGGCGGCGGGGTTGCTAGGTGGGGTAAGGAGTAGAACCCACCAGCAATGGGGGGACCGCTAGGGAGGATTCACCTCTAGGTGCGGTCGGCCGCAAGGCCGATACGACGTCATGCTGCCTCCGGACCCATCCGGTATGAGTATCTCTACCGGGCGCCCACTTACGCGGGCCCCGCCGGAATTGCTCCGGAGGTAATCGCAACACGTAAGCCTACCCCTGCGTCAATGTGGCAATCATTGGAAGCAATACATTTAAGTAATATTTTCTACATTTTCATTGAAAAATAATGAAAAAAGAAATTTTAGTGATATTTCTGTGACGTCCAGCCAAGTGTTTGATTTTCATGGTTCCCAAGATTTCAGAGGTTTCATTGATGTACAATGTAGATATTAAGAAATATTTTGCGTTCAGTCGTCTCGTGTTCGGTCGTCGAGCCGTCGATTTCGGCTCTTATTGCATGCCTAGGTCTGCGATGTTGCTTCAGATAAAAATGACTCGGTCGACGTGCCACTAGATACAGGTCATTCTATTTTATCTTCGGCCTCAGACTCAATCGAGTTGCTTGATAATTAATTATCATAGGAGATGAAAAGAGAAATAGTAATTAAAAGTAAAAAAACTTGTAAAGAAGCATACATTTGACACATATTATGATTGAAAGATCGAAATAATATACAATATAATCAAAAATATGTAAATATTTTGAATTAATACGGAGTTCTAATTTCTTAAATAGAGACATATGCGTATCATTAATCGAAGTATTTTTTGTGTATCTTGTTTATTGAAGGTGGTTGTTTAATATATGCATATATTGTTCTTTTTCTTTTGAATTAAACATGTATGCAGTTTCGGAATTTTTTCTTCTTACTTAAATGTTAAAGTTTTATAGCCTCAGCTTGATGAATTTAATTTTATATTTCCAGCTTAAACCATCTATTGAATGCGCAGCTGCTTTAACGAGAATGACGGCATGTTCCGCCTGTATTGGCATTCCTGGTAATGTTCTAGCATGTGGTGACATGTGTTCAAATGTAATGAAAGGATGTTTGGCCCACCACGCAGCTCTCGATAGCGAATGGAATCACTTTGTCGGTAAGTAATTAAATATCTCAATGGTTTGTAGTCTGCTCTTGTTCGAAACAAATTTAATTCATTCGAGTGTTTTGAAATATAATTTTTATTCTAAGAAAGAATGATATACTTGCTTGGTAAACGATTCATAATTTGTGTCTGGTAATGAAATTCGAAGTTATTTTACGGGTGGACAATGAGAGTTTTTTAAATTGCATTTTTCGCCAACTTTTGTGAACAATACGAAAAACCGTATGACAATATCACACTACACAGAATCGGAAGAAAGATTCTGAAGGTTCGTGACCATTGGTAAGTAGAAATTGCTACAGCTATTCTCAGACATTTATTGCCGATGTGCACGCACAGTTTCGAAGCGAATTTATGCGAGAACCTGCACTATCCGCCAAACGTTTGCAGGGTTTTACAAGAAACTCGTGTACCCGCCTGCTTGCGACTTGAGGTTGTACACGGCGATTTCGGAACCCGGTTTCGAAGTTTTTGCTGCAAGATTCGGTTATTCGGATTGGTGTGTAATTCGTAGGATGGAAGGAAAAAAGTTGGGGTAAAGAAGACGAGTATTTTTTTTTTTATATATCTATGACTTTTATGATGAATAGGACGGTTCCGAGGGACTTAGAATTTTCTTGGCCGTCCTAGTAAAGGGAAGATACAAAAAAGGAAGGTAGGAAATAGCACTCAATTTTCGAAACAGTTTGTAGGAGAATTCTAGACCCGAGGGGTAGAACTCTTTACTGAAAGCACGTCGTTAAGAAACTGTTAACGAAAATCGCTCCGGAAGAGGAGAGGTGGCGAACTTTAAGTTATGAGGATGCTAGAAAGAGAGGAAATCATACAAATCATACTCTACGATCGAAAGTCGTCGCGATTTCGCCGGATAAGGAAGTAGGAATTATTGGACACGCGTTTCCCCGGGCCCCCACACCCTCACCTCGTCCTCCCTGAACACGCGATCTCGGCGGTCGGCCCTAGGAGGCCCTCGAACCGATGGAACGAAGAAAGAAATAGGAGAACTGGGAAAGGGTCACCCCGCGTGGCCTTGTCTCCGGATGGATTTACCCGGGCGGTTGCCCTGTGCGATCTCGACCCGGTACGGCCGTTAGTCGCCCCGCGCGACTAACTGGCCCTGAAAAATTGAAGGAATGGGAGAGAAAGAGAATGAAAGCCCGCAACAGTTAACGCGAATCTAACGGATGCAGGAAGGAGGCTATCCGCAGTGTGGGCCCGGGCCACGGTTGCCTTAAAGGCCGTTGAGGCCTGCCAGCCCCGACTCGGCTGCCGGTTATTCGGCTGTCCCGGGGGGGGGGGGGTCGACGAAGGTCCTGGCCCTGGTCCAGGTCCCGGGTGAGGTGACGGCGTTCGAAGCGCTGAGGAGTGCGAGTCTTCACTATCGAAACTTTCAGGGTGAAGAGGAGCGGGCCGCGGCTGACGGCCCGTTCTGTACGGGTTCCCCCTCCCTTGGTCCAGCGTCTTCCGCGGGGTCCCATTGGTCTAATTTTCCGCGGCTTGACCTAATTACGGCGTCGGGCTTCTTGACGGGAATCCTTGGCCGGCGCGCTCCCGGGATGGGGCGCCGCCGGAGGCCGGCAGGCTGCCGGCTCTCGCAGCGCGCGAAGATGAGGGCTGACACCTGAGATGGCCTCCCCCCCTCGGGCCGGTCGGCATATTTCCCGATGATGTCCTAAGAGTCCTGGTGGCTGGTCCCGATTGACCTGGGGCTCGATCGTGGCCGTGGTTCCAGGTGTCCCTCCGTCAATAAAGTCGCCTTGGGTGGTCTCAGTGGTGCAGTCCGAGGCACCACGTGATCCCAATCGTTGTGGTTATTTTTGGCCCGTCCGCCACAACAATACATGGCCGCGGACGAGGTCCTCGGAGACACAGAGACGCCTTCTCGACGGTGTCGGCGGTGGTCGGGACCTCGCAGGCGGGCTCCTGCCCACCGGTCCGGCTCCTGACCGGGAAGTCGGCGCCCTCCTTGTGGGTGGACCTCCTCACGCCGTCATAGCAAACTGAGGTCCTGCCCCTGCGGGTCCGGCATCCGGCGGCCTTTGCAGGTCTGACCCCTGCGTGGTCCAGTTGGCCCGAGGGGAAAAGCAGGTGCCTGAAACCAGCCTCGGTGGTGTTAAATGGCCTTCGACGCCGTTCCCCTGGTCCTCCTCGTGGGTGCCCCGCCGTCGCTTCTCCGGTGGCTGTATGGATGGCCCTGGAGCTTTGTTTTGGGTCATCCCGCAGCGGTCGAGCGTCGCGCGCGCGCCGAGTCAGGCCGTCGCGCTTACAATCTTCTGAATTTGGCGAGACCTTGAACGCCTAAATATTCGCACTAGGCGAAGGAAATTAAAATTGAGCTAGAAAAGTTCCTAATATGACTTACTGCTAAAGAGACAGTGCGGCGAAAGATGACACTGTTTTATTCCAGGTCCTTCCGGATACGCTATTGAAGAAAGAGATGGATTAATTGGATTCGAGGTACCCGATTAAATAATTCAACCGCCTCTTTGCGGCAACAGAGAAAGAAGGTACTTCGAGGACGATTGATTCATCGTATTATTAAGTAAACAAAACGACGCAAGGGAAAGAAGGGGTTCTCAGCTTAGATCGCTACTACGCTTTCTCGAGTTCGCGTCCCTTTAACCTGTTAACCGGGGAATTGACTTTTGTATAACTCGTTTCAAAATGGGGACTTAATAGTAATATTATCACACCTTCCATGACGAAAAAAGTTGTCATGTCCATTTGAGGTGTCTTCGTGGTATGTCGAAAAATTTCGTCATACTCGGGTAACAGGTTAATGAAGCAAAACAAAATAAATAAATAGAAAAGGTGTGATTTAAATAAAAGTAACATATTTTGGCCTACGCCCCCCCCCCCCTCTTCTTCCTCACGCCACCGCCGCCCGGACCAGCGGTTCTCCGTAGTCGATGTTACGGCTGTAAAATGGTCCCGTTTTGTGACATTTCACTGACCGAAATGCCACGTCACAATATGTATAATAGTTCCTCCCCACTTGCTTAATGCCCAAAAACATCAGCAATGGGGATTTAAAAAGTCCCGTGGAGAGAAATAAGTTAACAATTTTATTTCCCGCGGTAAGAAAATTTGAGGACCCTCGATTCTTGCGCTCCGCCAAAATTGTATGGCTTACACGTGCAGGGTTATTTCCGTGATATCGGAATGGGTGGTTTCTACCTTGGTCCTCTGTACATAATTTCTTATGCTCTAAGTTTATACTACCGCTCGTTAGGTTATTACAAGGCTGAAGATTATTTGGGCTCGATATCTCGGGATCCACTCTCAGTTTGTATTCGTAATATATTTCAACACTAAGGAAGATGTTTGCACCGGCTGGTCTCGGGGACGAAGATAGGGTGACCCTCGGATGTTTGAATGTTTGTTAACATATATAATCCCGGAAGAACGGAGGTTTTGATTCTTACCAATAGATCCTGTGTCTCGTTATCTTAGTTTACTTGTATGATAGGTTCCGCGAGCAAGGAGTGTTACGTAGGATGTGATGTTTTCGGTCATGTACAGGGCGTCTCAGACTTCACGAACAAGAATTACATGGCGGTAACCTCTTTAATTCTGAAAAACAATATCCAATGCAAACTTGAATTCTAATTGTCGTTTCAAAACTATAGTAGTTTAAAGTTGACCAATCATGAAGCAGGTGTAGTTGCCAATTTTTGAATTTTATCATAGTAGAAGAGAATCTAAATGCGAGCTCACAGGACATGGAGATTTGAGCCTCACTTCAAGATGACACGGGTAATGGGATGTTTGTACTGGTACTATTCGGCGACTAATCCTGCTTGGGATTGGTCAACTTTAAACTACTCTTGTTTTGAAACTACAATTTAGATTCAAGTTTGCGTTGGATAATCTTTTTCAGAATCAAATAGAGATTACTGTCATGTGTTTCTTGTTCATGAGATCTGAAACACCCTATATTTGCGGTTTGTTTTGCTCCTTTAGAAGTCTTCAAAGGGGTTGAATTTGAGCTCGTTTTACAGCTCAGAAATACCTTAAAATATAAAGTACTTTATTTTTTATTTCGTCAATTGTTCCTGTGGTGTAGGGTGTTAATTTCCATTGCACACCTCCATCTTAAAAAATTAATTTCCTTGTGAAAGGTGAGAGCTTAACATTTTTTCTTTTTACTTTTAAGAACTTATAATTACCCCATAAATGTGGACCGGAAATCCGTACTTCTGGACACAGTGGGGTGCTAGTTATGAGAAACTAGCCCGATGAGTAGTGTACCTCGGGTAGAGAAATAATGCAAAAGCAATTAAATTCTTCACCCGCATTTCGTTACTGACAAACGGTATAATTTATTAATTTACTAAAAATAACTATTTTAAGTTGCTGTATCATATGATTACCGTTAAATATTTTTTAATGTTTAAGTTTTATACTCGACAGTAATTTGGGAACATATTATGTGCGGATTAAACTGTAATGTATTTGTGTTTGTAGAAGCAGTTGATAAAGTGGCCGACCGTCTACTGGGACCATTCAACATCGAGATGTTAGTTCGACCAATCAACCTGAAAATTTCCGAGGCAATAATGAATTTCCAAGAAAACAGTCAAGATGTATCTCAACGAGTCTTTACGGGCTGCGGTCGTCCAGTCCTGGGTAGACGAAAACGACGTGATAATAGAGAAGTGCCGTTGGAATCATTAAACTTCGATGAAGATTTACCAACCGATGACCGTTCGCCAACGACAGCTATGTTAGACCAGCTGGTCAAGGAAATTCGAAAAACGGTCGGCGATTCCAGGCAGTTTTGGGTTTATTTACCATATCAACTTTGTAACAACGGCTTGACAGTGCCTCCAAGTAACACGAAAGAATGTTGGAATGGAACTCGTGTAGACAAGTGAGTTACACGGCGTTTTTATATGTTTTCTTATTTATATTTCTTGTGGTAAGACTATTACATTTCTCAGCATTTGCAAGTAAATAGGTACAAATTAATATCTTCGTATAGATACGGAGGTCATGTCTTGGCAATGGTATGAGAGAAAAAACATCTAGACCAGCTGAGTGGTCATAACTTATCATTACGACTGTTTACAAATGTGTTTATCTGTAGAATGATTTCAAGATTTCAACTTGCTCTGAAGGTGTTTCATGATCTCTTTCCAATCCGAGCTGTTTCGAGCACACAAGTTCGGCGCTCGGGTAATTTTTCAATAATAATAATTTTATTTAAACGTGTACAACAACTTGCGTAAATCTGTAATGAGTTCGCGGTGCGTTTCGGGTGGATGGTTGACAGTGACTGCTCTGTACGAAAAAGGCGAAGTTCTCCTCCGGTGCAATACAATTTTGAGGAGAGAGTAACAAATTTCTTAACGAGTGATTGGCTCTTAGGAATTTGAGTGGGCGGTACAAACTTGACGAGTGGCTTTCGGATTGGCCGATAATTGTTATAGTCTGTCAATGTTGGAAAATCCTAGTTGCCATGGAGAGGGAAACTCATGTTGTCTGCACGTGTGAACATTGGAAGTACGGTCGACCCGGAAAAATTGTAAAGACTGATCCCAAAGAACCCAAATTCAAAATCTACGAAGGACGTCCGGGCAAAACAAATTAGTCCGCTGTAGGAGATTAGGGTTTATGACGGGTTCCCGACTGAACCCGAGAAGAATACTTGATAGCCTGACCAACCCAGGCATAAAAGGAGTCCCTATTAGAAATTGGTTCTTCAGAATTTTAAGCCGCGGAAATTAGAAGAATGAATCTTTTCGCGACGTTCTTCCGAATGACCCCTTTGTCTCTTTACAGCTCATAGGTGGTGGCCAACTGCTGCTCAAATTCCTAAAGTTTCTTTGAATATATTCGTAAACTAATTTGCTCGTTCTCATGGAGGGAACACGAGAAAGTCATATTCGTTATCTTTATTTTGACATCGAGGACAGTTTATGTTTTTTAAACAATATTACAATCGAGTTTTAGTGTTGCAAAAATTAACACGATAAATCCCATTTCTGTGACTAGAGTAATAATCATTTGATGTTTAGGTGTGTAGCAACTCAGTCACTAATCTTGCGCCGCTTCTTTATAATGGCATGTCATGCATGCCATTTCTTTTTCTTTTCGTGATGTCTTGTCCTTCAGAACTGTGGCGGCTACGCCACCGCTTCCAGCGGCGTCCGCAGCGCGGCGTCGCGAACGCCAATAGGGCGGCTTCACCGCCAGCTCCCGCGACCGCCGCGAGGAGCGCGCAAATCTCTCACTAGAGAGACCGGAAGAGACCACCGGAAGTTCGCTAGGTTAAGTAAAGCAGCAAGGCCGCGTTGTACTCTGAGAATATATAGATTTTTATTCCTCGTTACGAATGGTGTTTTACTACCCGGACCGGCCGAAATAGAAACAGATGGGCCGTGCTAGGCTACATGAGGCAGCACGGCGCCCATAGAACGCCGCTGCGGGCGCCATCTCCATCGTTCAAGTGCAGACTTACTGTACGCACGCACCTCGGCTTATCCGAACAATTTTGGTCCCGATCAAAGTTTATCTTTATACTGACACCAAATATAACAGTACATCTTATTGTTCTTCCGCTGATAAGGGAATATGGCTATAACGCGATAAGATTAGTCATCTGAATTACTAGGACCGATGCACTAGGGTCGCTCGCAGAGACATCGTCGGTCAACCATAGTTGCATGTTTAACACTAGGTTTACGGGCGTTTTTTATATACCTGTTTCTACGAGCACCCGTCAAATTGACGGGTAAACGAAAACACGCATTTTCTTTAAAAAATCGATTTATTCAAATTAAGTCTGTATTAAACAACCCTAGGCTTTACGTTTAAATAAATTATTAATAAGTAAAAAGTCCTTTTTTAAAAATTATCACGGAAATGATTGGAATGCTCGTCCTCTCATCCTCGGAGTCAGAACTAGAAAGAATGCGCATCCTTTTCTTGCTACGACACCCTTTCAAGAAGTTTTCCTCTTCACTATCCGAAGATCCTTCTATTTCTCCACTTTCAATGCAAACTTTCACTCTCATCTTCGCCTTACACTCCGTGCAACGAAGCAAATATGTATGGATTGTTTATGAAATTAGCTGGTCCGTCAATTTGACGGGTCTCGTAGAGATAGGTATACTACATACAGATTTTAATAATTAGAAGGCTTAGGAAAAAATAATTGCGTGTACAAATTCTTTGGATGAAATGATTAATTTACGATACAAAAATGGTTAAAATTAATGCTATGGTTTTTTCGGTATTTCTTTTTGAAGTTTGAATTCCGTCAAATTGATGGGTCCCGTATACCTAGTGTTAAAGACTCTCGGATGCCAATGTGTGGCCACAAACCGGGCTGGGTAAAATGGTTCTCAACTTCTATTTAAAATAGAAAATGCAAAATAGATTTATAAAATCCATTTAAATTGTAAAATTGAAAATGATTTTCTGTTCTTTGTATAAATAGAAAATGTAAAATGTATATATTTGAAATAGGTTATTAAAAAATGCAAAATGATTTTTAATATTTTATTGAGAACTTGTATATTTTAAAAAGAATTTGCATTTTAAATATACAAGTAAACATAAATTATATAAGTTTCTTTTGGAAGTGGCTGTTGTTTTGAGCAGTAGCTGCTTTTAAAAATGTTCATTCCCCATGGATCCTCTTTTTGAGCGCAAAATCATTCTTCCGTAACTAAATAATCTTTCAACAGGAGCGATAACAAATGGAATTGTCGTGGTGAGTTTATAAAAACATTCTTTTATAACTGGATAACGATTTAGGTAGTCGAAACTTATGTCTTCCTTCTGCATTTATTGTAGTCCTTCCAGCTGCAGACTGTATTTTTACTGGTGTTTGGAATGGAGGAGCAACTTTTGAATGTCGATTCATTAAACATATAATACTGATTTATGTGAACGTCTTCTCTAAGCCCATTAACGTTTTCAGAGCTAGAAGATATTTTAGTATTTTTACAAAAGCTGTGCATTTCGCGTATAAGAAGTTGTATTAGGGTCACTGTTTTTGATTTTGGTTCCCATTTAAATTTGAATGAAATCACAGAAACGAGAATGAGTTATTGTTGCCATTTTGACGACAATAAATTATTCTCGTTTTTCTGACATTTGCATTTGGAAGAAGGGCTGAGTACTGAGAGAATCGTCTCTCTAAACATTGTAAAACAATTTTCTGTGAGGGTCCGCAATATTTCTGAAGCCTTAACTTAAGAGACTCTAACATCTTTTTTCTCTTATAAAGTTGAATAAGTTCACCGAAAAATGTTATTAGACCCCTAAAGTTCGTCTACAACTTCTGCAACTGGTCTTAAAATTTCAATAAACTTCATTAGAAATTTCAACTCGTTTCCCTTGGATCTAATTAATTTCAGTGTCACATACAGGGTTGATTTTTTCTTTAACCTTTTTGAAACCCTCCACACAATCAAAGGTGAAATTCCGAGATGGACAAGGAAACGTTGGAGCTTTATTGATTATTTTTAAATAAGTTGCTGCTGTCTTCGGTGATTTTTACGTGTAAGATTCTAGATTGCAGAACACTTTCCGAATACCGAATGGTGCAGTCTTGTGTATTGCGGATCTTTATTTCTTAAGCATTTGTTAGCTGGTCTGAACTAGGTCTTAAGATTAAGGTGTGACTACCGCAACGTTGGTGATCTAATAAATATGAATCAAAGACTCCTTCAGTACTTTCAAGCACATCAGAAATGGAGGACAACTTTATTTCATCTTCATCCTCATTGCTAAGTTCATCTTCAGCTTTTTCAAGTTCGATTTGTCCTAAAAAGAGAACCATTTCTTAGCAAGATTTGAATGCGAAAATACAGAACAGAAAGCTTTTAAAAACAGAATTACATAAAAAAGTTAAATTTACCCGATTCTTCAGCTCTGATTTTATTTTTGGATGACTCAGCGAAAACTTGTATCATATTCGATCCGCTATCTGACATAGTTTTCACTATTTTAGTATTCGTTTTATAAAAATTCGTTATGAATTTCACTGATTAATTCTGTAATTCTATCATATGTATAACTTCTTTGAAATCGTCTACAAGTTAACGCGATACTCTGTCTCAAAAAATTAATATTTATCTGAGGACAGATTTTTCATTGAACAATAAGTACTTAACCCTTTGCACTCCGATGTCCCCTCTGGGGGGACATTTTAAGTCTAAATGGGATGGTGCGGAGTGCAAAGGGTTAAAATCTTCAGAATTGTGTCCTACCTGCCACGGGAGCTCTCCGACGAATTGTTTCTCAGGTCGGAAAGTGTCGCCCTTTAATACTAAAACTTAACGTAGGGTGTCTTACTCTACCCCATACGGGCCCTCATAGAAGTTAGTCACATCACCAGCCAGAATCAAAACTTCACAGTATGGAGTGGAAACACCCCGGATCACCGAAACCGAAAAAATTCAACACTCTGCCATCGGCAGGAAAGATTATGCTAACCGTTTTTTGGGACGTAAATGGGCATCTACTAGAAGATTACATGGAAACGGGGAGAACTATCGGCAAAGAGTTTTACAGTACATTGTTGACAAACAAGTTAAAGCCAGCAATTCGCACCAAACGACAAGGTCTGTTGTCAGAGAAAGTGTTGCTGTTGCATGACAACGCCCTCCCGCACACGGCTTAACTCATCATTGAAACCATCAATAAATTGGGTTTCGAGGTGCTGGAACATCCTCCTTACAGCCCAGATCATGCTCCCTCGGACTTTCCTTTGTTTGGGCCGCTCAAAGACGCTTTGGGTGGTCGTCGATTTTCCTCAGACCTAGAGGCGCAGGAAGCGGTGCATAATTGGTTTCGCGCCCAACCGAAAATCTTCTTCTTGGCAGGAATACGCAAGCTTCTGAACCGCTGGACCAAGTG